CTCAATTCTACTGATACTTAGGAAATATCACATGATGAAAGAAAATAATCAGAGAAAATGAGAACGTGGCCACTAAAATGACTCAAAGCTTGAATATCTTAGTAAGCAGTTTTTAAATGAAACCAACTAGCCCCTTGGTAATAACTGAAAGTAAAAATATTCTGGAAAACGGTAAACTATTTACTACACAGTACTCAGCAGGAAAAAAACAGTCTGCTCTTGTATGTTTAAAAAATACAGCCTATTTTCCTGTTAATTTGACAAACTGAGATCCAGTCAAAATACGGTTCAACATTCAAACATTCAATAGCCTCAAAAACTGAACATGAAAGTGCTAACAATATATGGCAGCAAAAGTGGCTTTTCAGAAGAAATCAGTTATTTGTGTTAGTGTTGATATTACAACTCTAATACTGAACAACCACTGTTTGCCATAAAAAGGGGCAATTATGATCATCTTTAAGAAAGGTTACAAATATCTGAAAACAACAATACACAAAACAGCCAGCACAAGTTAAATTATAGTATCTACTAAAACTAAAGAAAGCAATCAACTAAAATACTCAAACTTTAAAAACAGATACAAAAATAAAGCTTATAATAATCCAAAAGCTTAAATATTACATGAAAACTCAAGAGCAGCAATATGAAACTAGAAAAAAAGAAATCAGGTCATTCCACTCATTTTTATTTTTTGCTTGTTCTTTGACAAGTATACTATTTTAAGAATTCATTATGGTAGCCAGATAAAATTCATGGCCTTCTAAATTAAAACTTTTAACAGTTATTTCTTCAAAACTCAAACTGTTTATAGCTAAGGGATCTGCTTTATTAAACGTTACTCTCTGCTGCTGCCCCTTCTCCCATCCACCACCATTGCCTTAATGGGCTATCTTATAACTAACTACATTTACGATAGTCCTCTTGTGTTGGGGTGACTATCTCTCAAATAAGAACACTTGGAAGCATCGTTACTCGTCCCCTTCCCCCTCTAATCCAGTCCAATAAAGCCAATAAAATAAGTGTATTGTCTAAATCTATTTCAAATCTGTCTCTTTTCCATTTTCACTGCTAATGTGTTGGCTTGAGCCTTTGTATTTTCCTGTTGGAAAATGGCAATGTAAGTTTTTTTTTTTTGGTAACACTATTCCCCTCTGTCCTATCAACTACTGTTTACACCAAAAAAAAAAAAAAAAAAAAAAAAAAAAAACGTGAGGGAGAAAAATTTGCTGGGCATGGTGGCGCATGTCTGTAGTCCCAGCTACTTGGGAAGCTAAGGCAGAAGGATTGCTTGAGCCCAGGAGTTTGAGGTTGCTGTGAGCTAGCCTGACACCATGGCACTCTAGCATGGGCAACAGAGTGAGACTATGTCTCAAAAAAAAAGAGAGAGAGAGAAAGGGTCTTGTTCTGTCTCTAAATTCAGGCTGGAATGCAGTGGTGGATCACAGCTCACTGCATCCTTGAACTCCTGGGCTCAAGGGATCCTCCTGCCCCAGCCTCCCCAGTAGCTGGGACTACAGGTACATGCCACACCTAGCTTATACTAAGATTATTATTTGTATGTATCGCAATTTCAGATTTTAAACATTTCATATATTTTACTAAGATTTCTGGGACAATGTAGTCTTTGACTTGTGGAAAGAC